GCTCTTGTATTCCCGTAGTTATGTTGGTTAGCTTTACTTGGAGAGGGTGGTGGAGGACAAAATATTTTTTAAGGGACAATAAAATGAAAAGAAGTATATGACCGTTGAAATGTTGTTCTTTCTTGCACTCAATATGGGGCATTTTGTCGTTTTTCTTTCCATGAAATTAATGGTGAGGCACTGACCTCTATTTCCCTTTCATCAGCCAGGAGTGTCATTTTCTGTAAAGGCAAAGTCGAGAGCAACAATGTGGCAAGCATAGCGCATAGTTCTCTCTGTTTCCTTCTCATATAGTGATACTCATTTGTCGTCCTCGAAAGGAACAACAAGAGGTGACCCCATCCCATAAGGGCTTAAACCTGGGGCATTTCGGTTCTGACTGGGACATGCTACCGATTAACCAGTCCCATTGGGGTTAAAATTCAGATCATCAGACCAGGTACCGGAAGTATAATGTTTAAGAGACTGAAACGTGGGCAGTAAGAGCCTTTTTGATGTAACAACCGTCCAAGCGGTAATATCGAGTTCGCATTCAGTTGCTACATATTTTCTTCGTAGTTTTGCATGGCAGATCAGTGTTCGGCCAAGCTGCTGGTTTGCCTGTCAAGCTCTGATGTCGAAGGGGTACATGGCTAAACTTACAAATCTGCTCTACTTAAAATGTCAGGTTTGTTAACGATGTGCAGCACAACGTGACACAGTTCTAGCAGTCATTCACGGCGGTACGCGAGCCAGTCATCTCGCTCTGAAGATTTGAACTGCGAACGTTTGTAAAATGTGTCGGGTAGGACTTCTACACTGATGCGAATCGTTAATTTATCACTATTTTGCTTAAGGCTTCATCGTCTGCACTTTATATTATTACAATGATTTTGTCACTGAAGGAACATGATGCTTGTCGTATTGTCGCAGAAACACTGAAGCAAATCAAGTTAGCACTGCACAACAGGTTTTCAGTTTCAACTGCTCTGAAAGGGGCCTCAGCTGAATTTGTCAGATAAAATTTCCTGCAAATCTTAGGTGAAACCTTGGCATTCTGGACGGTCAACGCAAATAAGGGGGTTACACATCTGACGCTCTGTAAATTTAAGTGTACGACATCTCCTTAGTGTTTTTTAGCATATACTAGCATTAGTGTATGTGTACTGCTCATGACTGATTGAAAACAGAAATTCAGCAAACTGAGCTTGCCTGATCGCTGAAAGTCTGGGCTATTGAACAACGTTAGAAAGTCATCCGCGTCACCAAAAATGTTAAGAGACTGTAGTGACTGATTAATATCGTTTTGAATATTAAATAGAAGCCTAGTAGCCTCGTGTCTCGGTTTGATCGGTTAAACGGTTCAAACATGGTTTCATGTATGGAGACTATTGTTCCACGTGAGAAAGATTTGTTTCTTTCCGTCACTCTACAACGCCATGCACATAATTTGTCTATCACGGCTTACAGTGATAATTCTTATGCGTTCTTCACCTTTTGAAATGCAGAATCCGCTTGTATATGAGAGGAGATTTCAGGAATCCTCTGCTTTATTCTAACTGTAAATGGCGCTCGGGTGCGTTATAGGGATGTTGGAATGACTAAACATTTTGCGCTTAGCTGTTTTCGAGTTTATTCTTAACATGCATGTGAAACATCTTTCATGTAGCAGGTCGCTGGTACAAAAATCTGCAAGTTTCGTAAGCCCTGATAACTCTTCACCTTACATCCGTCTGATCGAATTGTTCAGAGGTCATTTACTTCATAGACTTATCTCCAGTAGACCAAGCTATTGCGGCGCTTTGCGTCGGATATTATTACTTCTGACACATTATTTTATCATTGTGCTGTCGATGTTCTAATTTTTGTAACTCTTATTTAGAGACGGGAATTCCCAAATGGAGATGTGAAGTTCAAGTACGCCGATGGCACCGAAGAAACGCGATATGCTTCTGGTAGAGTGCGAGTGAAAAGTTGCAACGGGTCGATTCTGAGAGATGAAATTCTGACCACTTGAAAAAAACTGTTTCTTCAGTTTATACGGATAAGATTATGCTCACGATTTCTTCAGAAATTACGTGCTTGTTACTGAAATCTGCTCAAGTGTGAATAGTTTACCTACTTACCTATGAATTTGTTCATTAAAACTTGTAGATATTCACTTGCTTGTCTTAAGACTGATAGAGGCCTATGTTTGATCAGAGTAAATATTCTGCTAATTAATGTGTGTAGTTTCATATTGTCATGTAACAATGTTCTCCTCTTTTCACTTTTGCTTGATCAAAGCTCCACTGCCTCAGCGACTCAAAGAATGAGTCCATTTTTGGATCACATTACATCATTAGTGGGCGAAAATGAGTTTGCTTTGAGCAATAGTGAAACAGTCAACTTGGACCAAATTGACAAAATCAGAGGCATTCTGACTTCAGTTCAGTGGGACCGCATAGAGGACCAGAAGTGCGTACCGTCTGAATGTAGCTCTGGAAGCGCGTGTAAAACCTGTTGCTGATTAGACGAAAAGCCCAAAGCGCTTACTGAGAGAGCAGTGGGTCAGAGGAGCAGTCCACCCGCCCATGTTGGTCGAAACGCATGTCAGTCGGTCAGTTAGTTTCGCTGACTGCCTAACCTTTACGCGGCGCGTTGCAGCAATGTCTGCAATACTCCCGGTCCTGTGCGGTCATCTGAGCCTCGACAGAATATGATCTGAATTTGAAGCGCAGTTTTCTAAGAAATTTCTCGCCTCATTCTTGACCTTTCTATGCGTCTCAGCTGGTCAATCGAGAATGTGACAGCAGTTTCGTCTTCCTTTCTGGAAACATTCGAACACGATCCCAGGCTTTGAGGCTATGACTTATAAATCTGTAAACGCGTCCACACACAATTAGTGGAAGTATTCTGGCACTGTATCAGAAGTATTATAGCACTATGGTGAAGTATTACTTTTTACAGTGCACGGTATAAAACCGCCATCAGTGGATGATCATGGATTAAGTGCCTTTGAGCATTGCAGAATTTTATGCATCAGTATTTATTACCACCGGTTTACCACTTTTGTTTCTTGTTTAGTCGATGATTCGACTATGACGTACGTGTACAAAAGATTCGTGGCGTCGATTTCAGTTAGGCTGTAATTCTGTTTCGTTTTGCAAGGTTGTGAAACAGAAGGACCATTATGAACACACCAGGACGGAACTATCTGGCCTAACGTCGATGACTAAAAAAGAATATATATATTTCTGTTAAAGTCCTATTTATGAAAAATAATATTTTATATTTATGACGGAATGGCTGTTATATGCAGGGCTTGCACAACCACATATGAACAAATTTCATATTTTGCATTGCATAGGTTGCCCCCGCTGATTGTCACATTGAATATGCAGCTATCAGGTGGACTAAGTCGAATTTTAGCCCTATGAAACGCCCGAATCAGA